TTGCCTATTCTCTTTTGTAACAAACTAGAAAATGAGCCAAGGTCAAAGTAAAGCTGACTTTTTAGCTCTTTAAGGACTCTAACCCACATTAGCCTCTTAGCCCTGTATGCTTTCCCACTGAGGTAAATAGCTAACAACAATTAAGAATGATTAAAAATAAAAATAAAAAACTAAAAAAGTGTTAGGATGCCTTAGCATCATAGGAATGATGTAAATTCCTTTGAAAGGGATTAAAGAAGCTAATAAACTACCTGAAGATGTATAAATGCCCTAAACTAGGAGGGTGCTTATCAGCTTTAATAACATTCTAGGAATGCTTAAAGAAGACTGTTGTATAATAATATAATAATACGTGTTGTTATTTTTGTGTGTTGTCAAGTTGATTCTGACTCATAGCGACTCTATAGGACAAAGTTAGAATTGCACCATACGGTTTCCTAGGCTAAAATATTTACTGGAGTAGATTGCCAGGTCCTTTCTTCCGAGGAACACCTTGGTGGGTACAAACCACCAATCTTTCAGTTAGCAGCCGAGCACTTAACCATTACACCACCAGGGCTCTTTTAATAATATGTAACCAAACCCATTGCTGTCGAGTTGATTCTGACTCTAGCAACCCTATATGACAGGGTAGAACTGCCCCAAAGGATTTCAGTTAGCAGTCAAGTGATTTAAGCACTGTGCCACCAGGGCTCCTAATAATATGTAAATGAATATATAAAAAACTGTCCCAAATAATAACAGTATGTAGAGAAAAATGAGGATCACAGGTTTCTTTGCAACTTTTTAGTTTTATTTTGGATGCCCTTAATGAAGAATATCTAACATGAAGAAATCATTAATATGAAGAATAAATTCTTCTAAAATTGTACTTAAGCAGTGAAGAGAGAGACAGTCACTGTTTCTCCTCTGAGGGAAAAGGCTGACATGAGTGTGGGAAAAAGGAGGAAGAATTGTTGTATTAGTGCTCACTGTGTATGCATCCATTTCTCACATCTTCCTCTCTCCAGAACCAGTTTCATTGACTTCATACCTTCTACAAACATTTGAGTGCCTTTTAGTTACCAGATGCTGGGAGAGAAGGAAAGACATTACAGACAGGGTGGCTGAATTGAGTCATTGTTTTCAAAGAGTTTGGAGCTTGGTATGGGAGACAGACATGTAAGCACATTTGTTTCAACACCTTGTAACGGTGTGTATGAAGTTAATATTTTGACGTCTTCTGTAGCAGATATATGCAGTATTTGGTCATTAACCCACAAGAGTTCCTCACCTCCACTACAAACACATATAGTGTCTCCAGACCAGCGGTGATGGAAGAAGCATCCAGGATACTTCTGGCAAGGTGCACTCTCATAGTCTTAAAAGGTGGGAGACCAACAGGGAAAGGAGGCTGTTTTTGGCTCTCTGAGCTCAGCAAATTGACAAATTCCTTTTTCCTTCTTAGGTGAGGTAATTTCCATTATTATTAACTCATGTCAGTTTCTGAATACTAATACACTTGCAAATCCACTAAAGGTCCTTTGCATAGTCTAGATTGACTACTTCAAGTTCTTGCTTTATTTTCTCACAAACCAAACGGCTTAGATGGACGTGGTTGGGGGACAAGGTACCAGACAGTTTCACATTCAGATACCCCTGCCTCAGAGGGCAACTCACATCATTATCAAGGCTTTGGCTATATACTCCTAAGGTACTCATGTTTCAAGCCCTGAGTTCCTCTAACCAAAAACAAAACGAAACCTATTGCCATCAAGTCGATACAGACTCATAGCAACCCTATAGGACATGGTAGAACTGCTCCTTAGGGTTTCCGAGGCTGTTATCTTTACGGAAGCAGACTGCCACATCTTTCTCCTGCAGAGCAGCTGGTGGGTTTGAACCAGGAACCTTTCAGTTAGCAATTTAACCACTATGCTACCAGGGCTAAAGGAAACTATGTTTGCAGTGGCTTTATCATTCTTTGATTTAAATTTTTTTTATTCTTAAAATATGCAAAGCCATTTATAATGATAGTAGGCTCTTGAGTTTTTTTTTTTTCTTCATAGTTTTGTTATAGTTCTAATGAAATAATTTATTTACCTTTAAAACACTTTTCTGAACTAAATAGTGCCCGGCTACCACCAAAAACTGCCCTGACAGGGAACACAACAGAGAGTCCCTGACAGAGCAAGAGAAAAGTAGGGTGCAGAACTCAAATTCTAGTAAAAAGACCAGACTTAAAGGTCTGACATAGACTGGAGGAATCCCAGAAGACATGGCCCCCGGACTCTCGGTTAACCCAGAACTAAAACCATTCCCGAAGCTAACTCTTCAGACAAAGAATAGACTGGACTGTAAGACATAAAATAATACTTGTGAAGATTGTGCTTCTTAGTTCAAATAGATACACGAGACTAAATGTGCAGCTCCTGTCTGGAGGCGAGATGAGAAGGCAGAAAGGGATTGGAGCTGGTTGAATGGACATGGGAAATCCAGGGTGGAGAGGAGGAGTGTGCTGTCACATTATAGGAATAGCAACTAGGAGCACATAACAATGTGTGTATAAATTTTTGTATAGAAACTAACCTGAGCTGTAAACTTTCACCTAAAGCACAATAAAAAAACATTTTTTTAAAAAACTTTTCTCTATTCCTAATTTTGTGTGTGTGTGTGTGTGCGTGTAAGCACACATGTCAGGTGTACGTGTATTGAAGGCAGAGATGTGCTAGATGAAAAGGAGCTTTTCTTTTTTTCCCTGTGTTTTTTCCACCCTCTCATTGATCAAAAACCATCTGATGCAGGGCCTTGAGGGGGTGTTCTGAACATCTTTACTGACATGCCTTCCAAACTTTGTTTTTCTTGCATTCTTTGCTTTTCCTGACATGATTCATTAGCAGGCACAGTGTCTTAATTAGAGAGTTATGTGCTTTGTTGTTTTTCTCTTTGGGTCTTGTTCTTGTAATAAGTCCTGTATTTAACTGAACCAAAGCAGTGCAGTCTGGAAAAGTCTGGGTCATTGTCACATGCAAATTGCTTGTTTCCTAATATATAGATTATTATATGATTCCTAATAGATTTCCATTTTCCCCTCAAGTGGTAAATGGTTAATGCTGTATAGCCTGCATAAATCCTTATATGTTGTACTGAATACTGAGGAAGTTGCAAAATAATGCTTTGAGTTTCAAAGTTTGGCAATAAAAGATAATTTTTGTTACTTTTGGCCTCAAACATTTATTGGCAAATATTGCCCATATAGTTGAGAATGCTAATACCACAGATGGCCCATCCCTGAGTAATATCTTACAGCAATAAAAGCATGACCTTAGTCTAAGTCCAGAGAGACCAAGGAAGACATTAATACTTAAAATATTTAATTCACCACCAAAAATTCTAACAAGGACCCTGTTGGCAGTGTTGAGGCCATTCTTGGTGTCCTATAATGAGGTTCAAATGCTTCATGATGACGCTCGAAAGTATGTTATGGAGTCTAAATTAACTATCTCTAATGATGCTATGGTAGATCTCTGCATGTCTGAGTTTATGCATCGTTTAGCTGATATGTAATGACAGCTTCAAAACCTCTCATTAAGTTGATGAATGATGGATTTTTTTCCCTCTAAATCATAATGGTACCAGTAGTTCTTTGTTTTTAGCTAAATGAATACCTTTATTTGAGAAAAAAATATGTCTATAATTGAGAGTGAATTATGGTTGTGTTTTTCCAAAACGATGATATTGAACAAGGATAGTTTGCTATAGCCTATAAGCTAATAGGTTGGGCTTGACCCTAACCGTGTTTTAGCTGCTTGAAAAAGTGTCCAGTAATGTTCTTAGATCTCCCCCTTAGTTACCACTGCTTTTGCATGGATCACAGTGGGAAGATTGGGAAGGGAGAAAAGAAGGGGCAAAAAAGAGAAGAAGAAATGGCTCAGTGGAGAGAAGAGAAGTGGTTGGGGCAAAGAAAGTCATTCCTACCCATCATTCCATAAGGTTTTGCTGAAACTATGATGAGGCTTGCCAGACGCAGCCCTAAAAGGGTGAGACTTCTCCGCTAACTATAAGGGGTGAAAGCAATTTGGATAAGTATTCAAGTACTTACTATTGCCTTGTACCGTGGGCTTTATATACAGTAACTAATTCACTGATCACCTTACAAAGACCTTTTGAGGTAGGGTCTAAATTTGCCTGAAACGTTTAGATTTTCTCAGTTACAATTCAGTTCAACAAATACTAGTATCCAGTGTGCACCAGGCATTGGAAATGGAACAGGCCAGGCCCTCATGGACTGAATTCTAGTAGGGGAGACAGATAGTAAATCAGAAGACAAATGGCTATATAAAATGATTTCCTCTAGTGATCAGTGCTTTGAAGAAAACTAAAATGTCAGAGAAGAAAAATGACTTGAAAAAGGACTGTCATTCTGCACAGGGGAGTCAGCAAAAGACTGAGGTGGTTACCGTTAAGCAGAGACCAGGAGGCCTGAGCCACACACATATGTGGGGAACAATGTTTCAGGCGGAGGATGCAACAAGTGCAGAGGTGCCTAGGTGGGCATGAGCGTGATGCGTTTAAGGTATAGCAAAAAGGCCAGTCTGGCTGGAGCAAGTTGATCAAGGGAAAAAGTGGTAGGAAATAGGGATGGGGAGGGAGCCAGGGACAGAGCACGGAGGCCTTATAAACCATGGTAAGGACTCTGAATTTTGTTCCAAGTGGTGGGAAACCACGGGAGGGTTTATATAAACAGGGAAGTGTCCTTTAGAAAGATCACTGTGGACTGAGGAGGATATTGCTTCTTCTCCAAAAGAAAAACATATTATGAAACCATTTTAGGATATATCCTTCCTTATCACTGAAATAAAATATTTAATACATCCTACCCATATAGTTTCAAAACCATTTGAGTGTGGAGTTTTCTTTTGTTAGAGTTGTGTGTTTGTTCCCTCTTTCTCTCTCTCTCTCTCCTCCTCTCCCACCTCCCACCCCCTTATCTCTCTAATTTCTCTCTCCTTCCTACATAGGAACTTGGAAAATCTTGGGAACAAGTTCAGTTGGAAGATGATCGGGATTTGCTAGACCATCAAGAAGAGTAAGACTTGTTATTGCTGCTAATTAATTACAGTGTTTTCCGGAGTGGAAAAACAGTTCTTTAATTTGATTTAAAATTATTTCTGGAGAATGTTACTTGAAGAGGCAGAATAAAAAGACACAAAACTCTTTTTTCTCTGAGACATACGTCCTTTGATGTAATATGGCAAAAACTTGAATTCAAAATAGCTTTGAAACAAGAATCACTAAAGCAACTGTTGTTCCAGCTAATAATATTTTGCCATTAAAGCTATTTACTAATTGAACACGCAGATAATATACAATTCAGAGAAAAATACATTCAAAGTGCTTTGTTCACTCAGTTGGTCCCCAGACCTTGAAGTGATACGATCTTTGAATGTTCGTGTTGCTTACTGTTGGAATAGAGAATATAACTGAATTGGAATTAACCTTGTTCTGTGTTCATCCCATTGATGACTAACTTAAAACATTCACAGCTTCTTTGCCTGAAATTATAAGCTTGAGAAGTAGTTCTTTTCAACCTAAAAGGATTTCCTATTATTCATCCTCTTTTTATTCAAAGCTGTGTGGCCCTTTTTCTCCCCCAGGATTTTGAATTAATATTATTTTATTGAAGTGTAAAGCCCAGAGTTGGAGAGTTGCCGTTTTCTAACTTTCTTTGATGCACAGAGAGTCAAGCAGTGAGTCCTCTAGAATACAAACGTTTCTTTCCCATTAGGGCATACTGGTTAGAATGCTTAATGGATGGATGTTGGCCTTTTAAAAACACAAAAGTAGTATAATGACCCAGAACAGATATGCTTCTGTCTCCCTCCTGGATGGATAGGGTTAGGGAAAATATTCCCCATCTTCTAATAGGAAAGCTTAGATGTGAACTGGGTTAGGTTCGTCTTCAAAGTCATAGCAGCAGTAATTTCTGAACTTTCCATGAGAAATTCTCCCTTGTTGGAGTTTGAATGGGTAGTTCCTTGGCTCCACATCTCTTCTCCCCACTAGCAGTTTTCCTGATTTAGGAGTGACCAGAATTGGCAGTATCTCAAAAGATAAATGCAAGGAAGAGGAAAAGTGGTGAAATGGATCCTGTATGCCTTGGGAGTTCTCTATGTGCTACCAGATTTAACACCTGGCCCATTGAACATGGTCAGTATTTCCCTCATGAAAGATGTATGGTTTGCCCTTTGAAAATACACCATTTGTCACGCAGAAACGCACTGCCAGCATCGTGCCTCACAGCGTGTGCACTCGGTGGTTGTGGATAATGAGAGCGAGCAGCACATCCCTGGATATGTCTCCTTTGCAAATTAAACCTAGTTGTCTCCGAAAGAGATTGCGCTGATTCTGCAGTGAGGTAACTGCTCAGAAAAGAAGCAAATAGAAGAAAATGGAGCAGCACCTGTTTGCTGTTTATATTAATTTCATAGTGCTGCTTTGAATTTCAAAAGCTGTATCAGAAAGTCATAATATGATGTGTCAGTCTTTACAAAACTGTCAGAGGTGAACGGGATTGGCGGGGGTTCCTGGGGAGAAGTTGCTGTGTAGTACACCTTCTTAATGAAGGGACCTTCCTATCTTCTGTTTCCTTTTTAACACAGTGACTGGTCTGACTGGGAAGAAATCCCTGCCTCTGCTGTCTGCTTATTTTGTGAAAAGCAAGCAGAAACAGTTGAGAAATTATATGTCCACATGGAGGTGAGATACTTTCATTCACTTGAAATTTGTTTTGCTCTGCCAGGGGAAAGCTGATACTTATTGCAACCTCATCCACTTATACCTTTAGTTTTTCAATCATTATCCCATTCCTAAAAGTGCTGTCAGCAAAACAGAAAAGATAAGCCAGGTTCACCCAGGAGAACCAGATCTCGGGGCAATTTAGTTAGTGCAGTTGACTGGACCGGGGTGAGCTGTGAGATTTTACAGACCACTGATTCAGTCCCATCTTTGAGATACTTACAGGATAGTTCTAGCTCAGAAAGTGGGGTCTGTGACCATGATTAACATTACCTGTGATATTATTATACACAGATATGGACAAGTTCTGGGTCCTTTTCCGGTACTTTCTGTGCTGGTGAGTAATGAGAGCAGGAGGGAAGGGAGGTAGCTGCCATTTACAAAGTTCCTGTGGAAGCTGAGGCCCCTCAGGGGTACATGGGAGAGGGTACAAGGATTGGAGGAAAGAAATTTGGGGGCATTTACAACCTGTACTTCCCCGTCTGGATGCCATTTTTATGTTATAATGAAGCTTGAAGCTAGACATTCAAAGCCTTTTTCACCGCAGTATATCTGAGAGAGATGACACACTCCCTACACTTCTGATAACTGGACAGTGAGGGTGGGAAACGGGATATCGAATGGTTCACCACAGTGTTGCATCTTGGAGGTAGAGGGCTAATTATAATAGAAAAATATTACCGGATGATTCTAAGATTCCCTTCCACCACCTCTGCCAATAGTGGAGCTTGCTTTCCTCTTTCACCCACCTTCATTCCAACCTCCTTCTGAACCACTGTTCTTACGCAGTCAAGGAAGGACCTAGAAGATGTTAGAAGGATCATGGGCATTTTCCCTTATGAAAGCAGAGTCAGTTTCTCTGAAACAAGGTACCACTAGTATGTGTGTACAGTTTCTGCGTTTAAATTGAAAGGGGTCTCAGCACTCCTGCCCTGTGCAGAGATTCCCTCTGCAGCGTCCTCTGCTCAGTCACTGTCTGATAATGTAGTGTGGAATTCCTAATTATCTTCCTGCATATGGTGCTGCACTAGATGCCACGTAGTTAGACGGTGTTTGTCCTCCGGGAGCGTGTAAGTTAAAACACGTATGCAGAGAGGCGAGTGATTGCAGCAACTGAACAAACAGAATAAGTAAAAGTCTCTGCATGGCGAAAATCAAAGAAAGTGTAATTTATGGGAAGATGTGAGTGATGAGTAACTTCCAGATTTAAGCAGTGTATTTGACAGCATAAAGCGAAAAGCAGAATCTGTAAAAATGCATATCTGCATGTGGAATAAAGGCCCAGTATCCGTAATTCTAGTCCAGGTGTACACTACAGTAGAGCCACATCTTACCTAGTGACTGAGGACACTTTTTGTCAAATGCAGCATGCATACATAGTAAATTGTAAAAACTGTAGCTATAAGCTGTGAATAATTAAATGTGTAACTGATTGGCATGACTTGTTTGCTTTGTGCTTAAAGAAGCAATTAGATGTGGGAGAAAACAGAATTAGAACACTTCAGAAGCAGAAGATGATGAACTCAACCCAGGTTTCTAAAGTGCTCAAACTCCTGTGAATAAGCTGTCTGTTTATAACTTCAGCACGAAAGATTAAATAATTCATATGCTTACAGATGTATTCGTTCCCTTTTTTAGGATGCACATGAGTTTGATCTCCTCAAAATAAAGTCAGAACTTGGTGAGTTTGCTTCGGAAGTCGTTTTCCATGATGGTGCACATTTTATATACAATACTGCAAATGATGCAGATGATGCCAGTGTGCTGTGGTGATTGGAGGGTGCACAGCCACAGTGTGTATGTACAGATGCGTCTACAGAACTCTCTGAAAGCAGTGATTCTCAACTTTTTTGAACTGTGATATTACAAATATGGTTTTTGATTTCACACAGTTTTCTTCCTCTTACCTACATATATGAGTACTTCAAATAAAATAAAACTTAATGCATAACCTATCACATAGAAGAAGGGGGCTAGTGGAAAGAGCATGGATTTTGGAGTCAGACTAGAGTTCCTATTTCAACTCCAGCACTTATAGTCTGTGTGATCTTGGGCCTCAGGTCGGAAGAATGTTATGGGGAGTGGATTCTGCATGTAAAACTCCTACTGTACTGCCTGGCAGCGCACCTAGCATTGTTTGCAGTAGATATGCCCTGTTATACCATTCTCAGTATCACTGTGATAGAAGGATTAGGTGCATTAAGACATAAAGTACTGACTTGCTGATGGATCCAAGATAGTCAGAAGCTCACTTCCCACAGCTCAGCTCAGTGACTACTTTCCTAGACTCCTGAATGTGTTACTTTACGGCTTTTATGAACATATATCCACATCATATGTATAATTAGCTTCCTAGTCAAGAACATGAGATCTGGAGTGAACAGCCTGGTGTCAAATCCTGGCTACACCACTTACTAGCTATGCAACCTTGTACAGTTTCCTAACATAGGTTTTGTGAAGATTAAATGTATTAGTTGTTGTTGTTAGGTGCTGTCGAGTCGATTCCAACTCATAGTGCCCCTTTGTGCAACAGAACGAAACACTACCCAGTCCTGCACCATCGTTATGATCGTTGTTATGCGTGAGCCCATTGTTGCAGCCACTGTGTCAATCTATCTCATTGAGGGTCTTCCTCTTTTTCGCTGACCCTCTACTTTACAAAGCATGATGTCCTTCTCCAGGGACTAATATATAGAAAGGGATTAGTATATAGAAAGAGATTAGTACAGTGTCTAACATGTAAGCCCTGTGTAAGTGTTGGCTGTTATTATTTGGTATATTTTATTTTGCTCCATAATTGGAGTGCCTCTTCAAGTTGGGGAACCATGGTGGCGCAGTGTTAAGAGCTGAGCTGCTAACCAGGAAATCAGCAGTTCGAATCCACCAGCCGCTCTTTGGAAGCCCTATGGGACAGTTCTACTCTGTCCTATACAGTCGCTGTGAGTTAGGATCAACTCAACAGCAATGGTTTTGGTGTTGGTTTTTCTCCAAGTTGGGTAATAAAGCTAAATGGCTCTTTTAAAAAATTATAACAGTGCAAAAATGAGCCTGACCAGTTGGCTAATGATGCTGTATATTGTCATTTTTAGGATTAAATTTCTATCAGCAAGTGAAACTAGTCAACTTCATTCGGAGGGAGGTTCACCAGTGTAGATGTTATGGCTGCCATGTGAAGTTTAAATCCAAAGCGGACTTAAGGACTCACATGGAGGAAACTAAACATATTTCACTGCTTCCTGAAAGACAGACATGGGATCAACTTCAGTAAGTAATTGTTCCACCAGGTGTGCACTTTCTTTCTCCATCTCCCTTATTTTATCCCTTTGTTTAATTTCTTAAAATTTAAAGGAAAACATGTTTATTATAAAACGTAAAAAGCTTCAAGAACCTTATTTTCAGAGTAATCCTCATCTTACAAATGAGACCAGCTATTTCAGAATTTGTAGTGTAGAGATAGATATAAATGTAGGTAGATGTAGAAGTAGATACAGATCTTTAAGTTATATCTTCCTAGGTATATTGTTTTGTTAACAGAATATTGTAAGCATCTTTCCATATCCATTACACATCTATTGCATCATTTTTAATGGCTGCCAAGTATCCCATTGTATGGTATACCCTAATTTGTTAGATATTTAGGTTGTTTCTTATTTTTTGTTATAAATAACAAAAAAAATGAATATCCATATCCCTGCATTTTTGCATATTTATCTCATTTAGATAAATTCCTAGGAATAATATTCCTGTGTCAAAGGTATGTACACTGTTAGGGCTTTTGGTATATATTTTGCATCTGGGCACCTTAAGAATAGTTGGTACCTATGAGGTGCTGTCAGCCTCCAGGGTAGCCTTTGCCAGCCTGATCCTTCTCTGCCTGGTTCTCATGTCTCTCTAGGATAACCTCAGTTTAGAAGACTTCTGAGAGGCTTTGGGTTTCTAGTTGCCCAGTGGTTCCTCTATTCTCAGGGGATGTTAAGCCAGGTCCTGGAACTCTAGCCCAAAAGCTCTAGTGTTTCTCCTTCAGAAAAATCCCGTAGTTGTGAGAGCCAAAGTCAGCCCCTGATTGAACCGGTGTCCTGTTCCTATAATTCTTCTTAGATAGATCAAAATCCTCAGAGGTACCCCCCGAACTAACTCAAGTGTGTCCAAACAAGGAATCAGAATAACAAACTCATAATTCAACAAACATTTCATTTTTTGATTACCAGTAATGATTAGATTGGAAAACAAAACCCAAGGGGAAACAACCATTTTCATCAGATATTTGAAGGATTTGTGTATGAAAAAGTAACTGTATTTTAACTTTGTTAACCAAGAGGGAAGCACTGGGACCTTTGAGTAGAAGTGAGAGAGGTATGGGTTTTAGCTTCACATAAGGAGATATTTTCTAACAATGAGAGCTGTCCAACACTGGAGTAGGCCACCTTTTGGGATAGTGAGTGTCTTATCACGGTAGATATCATGGCAGTGGCTGTGAAACATTACTACATTCTGTAAGGCTGATGTCAGTAAAAGTGAAAGTAACTCAGAAATTGTCTCCCTTATACAAAACCCATTGCCATCAAATTGATTCCAACCCATAGCAACCCTATAGGACAGAGTAGAACTGCCCCATAAGGTTTCCAAGGCTGTAGTCTTTATGGAAGCAGACTGCCACATCTTTCTCCCACAGAGCGGCTGGTGAGTTCAAACTGCCGACCTTTCGGTTAGCAACTGAGCACTTAACGACTATGCTACCAGAACTATCAGAACTCCTTGTCTCCCTTATAACCATTGCAAAATGCTGTTGAAATTGGTGGCAAGGAAAGCTAGCAAAGTTACAGATATATAGATAAATAGATACAGATATTAATATATGATGTATAATAATGCTACCTAGAAATTTCCTAGATATTGCATTAGTTTGGTTATTCAATGTATCTATGGTTGTTTCAGGTATTATTTTCCAACCTATGAAAATGATACTCTTCTGTGTACACTGTCTGACAGTGAAAGTGACCTGACAGCACAAGAACAAAATGAAAATATTCCCATCATCAGTGAAGATACTTCAAAACTGCAGGCTTTAAAACAGAGCAGCATTTTGAACCAGTTGCTACTACAAGAGTGTTTGAAAAACTAGAAGAAACTGCTAGAGAAGCAATTTTTAATGTTTTCTCCTATGAAACAGACACAAAAGCATAGTTGAAATTTGAACATCAGCAAAGGACTAATCCTGGTGAAATACACTTTTTTATTTTTTTTAAGTTTTCAGAAAATAGAAAAATAAGGACATTTTGTATCTTGCCTGTGAAGTTCTGTTGTGTAATCATTTTAAATGGTCTTTTTTCATTGAATTCATAATTATCTATGATAAGGAGGATATGGAAATCACAAATAAATGACATGTTCAAATTATGGATAAAGCTACTTTCAACCAGTAGTTGTCTTCTCTTCACAAGCCTTCTTCATCCAGTAAGTCACACAATTTGACAGAAATATCCTTTCTGTACTGTATTTGCTAAGTTGTACATGAAGTAACCAAACCACAGAAGAGAGGAAAAATGATCAGAGACCTAATGCACAAATTGAACACTGTTCCAGAATAACCAAGAGTTGCCTATGTCATCATTACTCACTTTTGTCTAAAGTTACAAAACTCCCTAGAAGTAGGCATCGAGCCAGTTAACTTCACCTTCCTCTACAATGAGTAAAGAACGCTTGACTAATTTGGAGTTTGGTACTATCAGATAAAGTCATTTTTGTCTGATTCAGAAATCTGTTCTGGCCATGTTCTCTCCATATAGAATGTCTTATTACCAACATTAGTTAAACTGAAGGCCTCCACGCCATTTTGTTTAACCTGTCTTTGTCCCTGAGTCCACCACTACATTGATGCATAATGCACGTTAGAGATTCTGTCTGTTAAACTGAAGAGGTTTAAGAGTGACAGGAGGAAGGTGCTCAGTGTGGTTTTAAGCTAAATGTTGGTGTTTCATGGACTTCTGTTCCAGTTATATGTGTTAGCATGAGAAATCTAGAGTTAGTTGAACAGAAAGCAGAATACTTACCCAGATACTGGAAGCCATATGATTTACATTATAATAGGAAAAGCTTGCCTGTCTCAATTACTAAAGCACTCACATGGAATCTGGTGTGGAGTATAATTTTGCCATTAGTGTTTATATTTGCTTAAATATCAGTATTTCAAGTAGTGCTAAAGATTAAACCCCCCTCCTCACTAAATGTTGCATCATTTTAAATTATTTAATACCCAAAAAATGATCTTTTTAGAAAATATTATGTCACTCTATGTTCCAGGGATTATATTCTTATACAGTTTTCACATTTGTAATATTCTCAGTGACACCCCGCCTCGGGGGTGGGGGGCATCCCAACTGGAATGTATAATGCCTGAATCCAAAACGGGTCTCCAGAGCCTTGCAAATGAGAATAGTCTGCAAGAGCCTGTACAAAACAGCCTCACAGATCTATGAAAACTCCACAGAATGCAAGCTGCTGAATTTGCTTTTGAACTTTTCAAGCCTACTTTGATCTGGTATGGCAAGAAAGATCGAGGCAGGATTGCCTTTTAGTCACTGGTGAGTGGAAGAAAACATATGGTACTTTTTATTATGGAAATATATAACATTCACAAAAGTAGACTAGAATAATGAACCCCCGTGTTCTCGTCACCAATTTCAAACATTTTCAATATTCTGCCATTTTTATTCTATCAACCTCCCCGCCCACACACACACGCTTTTATTTTTCATGGAATATTCTAAAGCAAATCCCAGACATTGTATAATTTTATCTTTAAATACTTAAGTATATATCTCTAACAGATAACTACCATTTTTTAAAACATAAACACAATACCTAACAAAATTAACAATAACTTCTTAATATCATCTGTTTTCAGTATTCCCCAGTTATGTCAAAAAGGTCTTATTACAATATTATCAGTTGTGGGACAAATGTCATGTACCTCCTGATAAGATGCACTGTGGAGGACAAAACATCATGTTTGCAGATTCCTACCAAAAATGTATAACCTGAATATAAGCATGAAGAAACATCAGTCAAACTCAAATTGAGGGACTGTCTCCAAAATAATTCATTTAAAAATGTCAAGGTCATGAAAAATAAAGACTGAAAAACTGTTCTGGATTAAAGAAGACTAAAGATATATGACAACTAAATGGAACATGTGATCTTGGAGGCGCAAAAATATTTTTCTTTTGCTATAAAAAGCTTTAGTGGGAGAGTTGGCAAAATTTGAATAACGTCTATAATAAATTTTACAATGTTGATGTTAATTTCCTGATTTTGATGATTGTCCTGTGGTTATATATGAGAATGACCTTGTTTTTTAGAAAGTACATACTTCGGTATTTAAGAGTAAAGGGGCATTTTGTTTGCAGTTCTCAAAACAGTTCGGAAAAAGACTAATATGGATATATGTAGAAAATGGTAAAGTAAATGTGATAAGCTTTTAACATTTGCAGAATCTAGGTGTAGGGTATATGGGAATTCTTTGTACTATTACAACTTTTCTGTAAGTCTGAAATTATTTCAAAATAAAAAGTTTTTTAAAATGTCTTTTACAGTTGGTTTGTTTAAATCAGCATCCAGGTGAGATCCACACATTGCATTTGGTTGGTGTGGCCATTAAGGATTCACCCTTCTCTTTTTTTTTTTTTTAATGTCACTGGGTCATTTCTCCCACTTTCTGAATTTGGCTGTTGTATCCTTTTTGTGTCACTTAACATGTTCCTCTATCACCTTTTTTTTTCTACAAATTGGTAGGTAAATCTATAAGCTTCATTAAATTTGGATTCAAAGAAAGTTTTTTTGTGAGAATACTTCCTAGGAGATACAACATGGTTCCTGTTGCATCATGTCAGGCACATGATATCCGACTGTACCTCTTTTAGAGGTATCAGAGTAGATCAGTGCGTTCAGCTATTGTCTGTCTGATGCATCATTAAAAAGTTCCCCATCACCGTTTATCTAATGATTTTGGCATCCATTGGTAATTGTTGCCTACATCTATTATTCTTTGTTGGTTTTTGTTGTTATGTGCCGTCAAGTCGGTTCCGACTAATAGCAGCCCTATGTACAACGGAACAAAACCCTACCCAGTTCTGTGACATCCTCATAATCGTTGCTATGTTTAAGACCGTTGTTCCAGCCACTGTATCAGTCCATCTCATTGAGGGTCTTCCTCTTTTTCTCTGACTCTCTACTTTACGAAGTATGATATCTTTCTGCAAGGACTGGTCCCTCCTGACAACGTATTCGAAGTACAAGAGATGAAGTCTCGCCATCCTCGCTTCTAAGAAGCATTTTGGCTGTACTTCTTCCAAGACACAGTTATTCATTCTTCTGGCAGCCCATGGTATATTCACTATTCTTTGCCAACACCATAATTCAAAGGCATCAATTCTTCTTCGGTCTTCCTTATACATTGTCAGCTTTTGCATGCATATGAGGTGATTGAAAATATCATGGCTTGGGTCGGGTGCACCTTAGTCCTTAAAGTGACATCTTTGCTTTTTAACACTTTAAAGAGGTCTTTTGCAGCAGATTTGCCCAATGCAATACATCATTTGATTTCTTGACTGCTGCTTCCATGGGTGTTGATTGTAGATCCAAGTAAAATGAAATCCTTGACAACTTCAGTATTTTCTCCGTTTATCACAATGTTGCTTATTGGTCCAATTGTAAAAATTTTTCTTTCCTTTATGTTGAAGTGTAATCCATAATGAAGACAATAGTTTTTTATCTTCATCAGTAAGTGCTTCAAGTCTGTTTCACTTTCAGCAAGCAAGGTTGTGTCATCCACATAATCACAGGTTGTTAATGAGTCTTCCTCCAATCCTGATGCTGCATTCTTCATACAGTCCAGCTTCTCACTTCAGGGGTTTCAAAACGGTTTTCTAATTCTATCATTTCTTTGTAGGTAGGTTCTTTATACAGCATGTGTGCTATAGAGCACTGAAGTATACATTTTCAGTTGTTGATGCCAGGCTGTCAAGGTGGTGCCCCGAGAATAATCTTGGAGTCGGGTGGCCTGTCCAGAGACTCGAGTTACTTCCTCCCACCATGTGGTCCTGAGTTTACTGGATTTGTAGATGGCATAGGCTCTAACCATTGCTTTATATTTCCAAGTTTCCAGCTGTGCATGCACCCATTGACAGCTGGTATAGTTTTATTAATAAACAAGCAAAGAAAATGGGAGACTTTATTATAAAGAAAAAAAAAAAAAGCCTTCTTGGGTTGAGTTAAAGATACAATTCAGTTAAACTGTTTTGAACCCAAGGGATAAGAAGGCAATTAGACCTATGCCTAGAACCCGCTTTCCTTAGAAATCAGATTTGTTCAGGAAATCAAGGAGGGTCTCAGGTGTTTTCTAAAATGTGCTTCAGTCTTACTCAGAAGAGGAGCAATGAATAAATGAGAAAATAAACTCAGAATTATTAAGGTCGAGGAGGAGAAAGCTTATTAGAGAAAATGTTGAGGTTTTAGAAGACAGATCAGATAGATATAAAAAGGAAAATGAGATAGTGAAGGACAGACCAGGAAAGAGATGATGTGCTTAAGGCTTAGTTCATGTAAGAGGCCGTTTTTTAAATGGGAAAATTTGGGGTGGGGAAGGGGTTTAAAGACAGAAATGGTTACTTAGACCTAAAGAAATCTAATGAGAAGCGAATCTCAGCATATTGTATAGACTCCCAGAGGAGCAAGAATATAGGCCACCACTGGTAAAGTAGTCTGTTAGAACTACTTCAGGACTGCTTGATAAGAAACACTGGAGAGCCGCTCCTTAAAGATTGGGACAGCAATACCAAGTGCACCCTGAAAGTCTGGACAGTTTGAGAGATGAGACCAGTCAGATGACAGTAAACTAAGGAAGTATTGGATGGGCTTCCAGGTGTCACTATAATTGCAGATAGGGACACAGCTGTTGCCTGTGCACTGAGGAAACACGCCTGAGAAATTCTGGAATTAAGACTAAGTGAAGGCAACAAGAAAGATGAAACGTAACAGAAGAGAGCCAGGCAGGACGGTGATGAATGGACTCCAAACATAGGTTAGCTTTTAGTCCAATGGGAGAATATTAGCTGGTTAGGATTCTCTAACTCAGAATGGTGAGGGTGGCCAAGATTTTTTTGAACAACGGTTGCTTTCAGCAGACCCAGGACCTAGTGACTTATCTGTCACAAGGAGGCCACATTAGACAAAATCTAGAACAAAATGTTAGATAAGCACATGTCTGGGACAGAAAGGAGAAAAGGTGTCAGATTCTGCAAATAGTATTAGGCCTACATGTGTTAGGGAAGGAAAGGGATCAACTTAGAAGCAAGCTATACTGTCACAGACTCAGCTATTTCTCCCTGAAAGGAGTAGAGGAAAATCAGGCCCTTAGGCATAACTCGTTATTGCAGAAAAAGGCACAGCAAAGAGAAATACTGCCTGAGGCCTGCACCAGTCAAAAGCAGGGAATGGTGGTGTGCAGAGGAGAGCTCAGCAGAGGTATCAGTCCTCATCAGGTCCCAGTGTGACTAGTCTGGTAGTCTAATACCCATTCTCCCTTTCTTCAATAATGGGAAAATGTTTAGTTGGGTATATGGCTGCCCAGGGTCCCAGTGTGACTAGTCTGGTAGTCTAATACCCATTCTCCCTTTCTTTAATAATAGGAAAATGTTTAGTTGGGTATATGGTTGCCCAGGTGAAGATACATTTCTCAGCCTCTCTTGCAGCTCAAGGTACTAACCCATGTGTCTAAATTGTGGCAAATGAGATGTAAGTAGGATGGTGTCTCGTGTGACAGCTTCTGAATCCTCAAGATACTGAAACAAGCACCCTTTGTTTTCCTTCTCATCCCTTCCTATCTCCTGTTGCCTAGGATGTAGCTGGTCTCATGTGAGGTAGTAAAGTCAAGGCCATGTAACATGGGGCAACAATATCAAAGGAATCTGGATCCATGACACCTCAAGGGCTACCCCAGCCTGGAATGCTGACCTAGACATTTATGTGAAAGAAAGAAGCTTCTACCTTCCCAATGTTATTTTGAGTTTTCTGTCATTCATCACCAACGCTAATCCTAACTAATATACCTAGTATGTGAAACATCTGCAGCAGCTTTAGTTCAGGAATCTGCTGAGAGTGTTTTCAGCTGAAACAAATGAGAGGCTAAAAGGAAAATTGCCCCTAGAAGGCAGCCTTCACAAACCTAAGAAATTCCGCAACAAAAGGCAGCAGCAGGAGCCACTGTGGCAAAGAACTGAGAAGCGTGCACACAGGAGATCGGAAACCATGTCATTAGAGGCCAGATTCTGTGGAGCAGGGGCTACTGGAAATAGGGCTCAGTGGGGAAATGAAAGTTCAGAGGTTTGAAGATGCGGGATGGGAAAGAAAAGCCTGTCAAAACAGACCTTGTGACTGGGCTTCCCATCATTACATATTTCTAAACTTTCCAAGAATGCCAATGTCTCATATGCTGCTCCTGGAGAAATATCTGTGGATTCTTCCCACAGATATTTGGTAAAACATGTTGCAAAAATTAACTCCTAAAGGGAGATTCCTTCCAATCGAGTTTAAGTTTACAGATCAAAATCTAGTACTTACACAGAAGGACTGACATCCTCATGAAGCCAAAATCAAAACATCACTGAGCCTCTATTCTGGAAAGTACAGGGCATCATTTTTTCTTGAAAACTACTTAAAACTCTTGGAGTTGACTTTTTTTGTTTAACTTTGTTAGTGTTGATTAAGTACTTTAATAATATTCTTCAAAAGGTGAGGTATATCAGAAACTTGGTGTTTAACCAATTCAACTCACGAGACTCTGAGAGAACCACAGCCGTTCTAGTGAGACACGGTCCAGGCTGCTGAAAGAATCACAGTGTGATCCAGGCATCAAGGACCCGCTAATTCAGAGTGAGCATGATCAGAAGTTGGGGAGGATGAATTTTAAACTTTAATTTCTTTTAACTTTAACTCACACACACACGAGGAAATTTAATCTTTGGAGTTCAATTTCTCCCTGGGAAATTCACAGTGGTAGATGAGTTATATTTAAATTTGGGGCATAAATCTTTTCCAGAATGTTTGTTATTGAAGGATCTTTACATTATCATATAATCTCTTTGTAGTACTGCTGACAGACTGTTCTGAAGGACACAGCTATACATAGTTAGGAATGGAAAATAGAATTAGGAGTGAACTTTTAGGTAGGGTTCTGTGTGGCCTTGGAATTACTTCAGTGAATTGCCTCTGAGGACAATAGCTATGCTCTTCACCACCAGTCTCAGGAGAATACACAAAGGAAGCATAGTTGGCATTGGGGAGGAAGAGTGGGAGATGTTCTCATAAAGGGGAGAGTAGCATTGTCCTGATAGATTGCTGGTCTCCTTCTGCAAAGGAGATGGTCACACCCTTGGTTGGCCTTGAGCTTAATGGTTACACTCAATGAGGTAAGAGAACAAAAATCTGGAGAAAGCTGGAAAAGGAGAACCTTTCTTCCCCTGGTATCTTGTTTCAACAAGAAAGAGAATCCACTAGCATATCATTCTTGGTTACTCTCTACCCTTTCTCTCACTCCTACAAGGGAGAAGGAGTGATTTTTTTCCTGACTAGAAATTTGGAG